TTTTTAACTACGGATAGATTTTAAATTAATTTCAGGATTTCGTATCGTTGATGCGGAAGGCGGGTGACCGCATTCTGTAAAGATATTGGAGAAGATCTTTGTGCAACAGTGGGCCGATAAAGGCTGTTGATAACGATGTAGCCCAAATTACGCCTTCAATATAATTTTCATTAACCTAAATTATACGATAGACTTTATTAAAATAATAAATAAAGAAAATAAATTCCCGACTTATGTATAACTAGCTGTTCACGTGCGGTTTCATCCGCATGAAATTATACATTTTTTGTTTGCATTTGTCAAATTCTAAATTGCAAATGTCAAAATACCAATTACCTTACTATGACAATCTTGCTTTCTTGATGTTGGCAGCAACTTATGGTCTCTTTCCCACATTAGGGTTTTTATCCAAAATATATATCCCCTAAGTTTAATGGCGTGAAAATATATAGCCTAAAGCGCGACGTAAGTGTAGGGCTTTTTATTAAAAAAAATAATTATTCAAAAATATGCTGTAATTGCTGAGATCTTAGGCAACAAAGAAGTGTGTGTTTACGCTTTATTATAATTGTATAGATAAATAAAGAAAATGAATTCCCGATTTATGTATAATTAGATTAGTAGACATTGCCTTCCCCCATATATCAAAATATACATCGTAATTAATTTAGTAGGTAATGAAAGAATAAACATTGGATTACACGGATTAATATTTAGAAATAAATTAAATTAGGCTATGAGAATGTTATCAACACTTTAGTTAACCTTTTAAGTAACAAGTAAGCGGCATTTGTACACCACTCAGCACGCAATGCGACATCCATCATTGCTAAGTACACAACGGTTAGCTTAGATTGCTTACTTAAATGTTTACGAGAATGTAAAACATTCTAAGTTACATTTTATAATGTAACTTAGACTGTTTTAACCTTAAAGATTTAAAATAAAACATTATTTATAAAAAACAATGTATTTTAAATAATTTAACGTATATTAAAAAAAAGTTATCATTACAACGCTGGGGTTATTTATTGGTAACACTTTAAAAAGTACACGTAAAAACAAGATAACCCAAAACCATTCCGTGAGTCAAATTTTCATTATTTATAAATATTTCTTGTAACCATAATAAGCTCAAACCTTGTGCTAACCCGGCCCACGATCGCTAAATCGGTAATACAGATGCCAGTAACTGGCACGTGTATTCCCGCCGTTAGGCTATTGGCATTAAATGTCAGATACATTTCAAATGACATATACTTAAGATTCAGAATAGTAAAATGATTACTTCGATATGCATTTCAGTAGCGTGCAATTGTTTGACAGCGACATACTGTGAGAATGTATTGGTTCTAGCGCGTACTCTCGTAAACAAACACAAGCAAGTATTGTGCCGCGACCTCTTTACCGCGAAAGGTCGGTGGTGACTTAGAACGTATTCAAATTTGAGTTTTCGGTTACACGTAATATTCAATTTCCTGGAAAGAGTTTCGCGAAGATTTTACTTGTTCTTAGAGCTTGATATTTTAATTTAGAGAAAAATTATCGTATAATTTGAATAACTGATATTCAGGGTTGTTTGAACTGTCTGATTAGACACTGGTCTTTTTTAATAGTATAAAGTAACATACGAGCCATTCGAAATTCGCCTATAAAAGCGATGTGACGGATGCCCATAGATATAGACATTTGCCTGCGTTGCCTACTTTTAATGATTCACAAAAAGCGAATATTTTTCTTACCTATGTGTCTCAGGCAAATAAACTTTTCCTTCCCAGGATGCGTGCTAACCGGTTTTGACTATTCCCAATAGTAGACAAGTAGACAAGCGGGATAGCATGAACGACCAAAGTTAGGTTTCCGGCACATTTGGTTTAGTATGAAAGTAATATTCGAAGAGACATGTGGAAAGAGCAGTAACTTAATCGGATAGAGAAATAGAAAGAATCGTTTAAGTATGCAAATACATATCAAAGAACATACAAGGCTTGTTATTGATTTATTGAGAACAGATAACAAAATATGAATATGTATCTCTCATGATCAGACTAATGCTTTCTTGGCGTGATTAATCATTTGTAATTTATTTATAATATTTATCAATACTCATTGCATTTAGAATGGCCGTGAGTTGTCGCCTTTCCTGGAATCTTAACAAACATCGCCGAGAGAGAACATGTGTAATTTATGTAAATTTTACGAAATTCTAAATTTAGTTTTATCGAAATTTGAAAATTGTTTTCTAATAACACTTAAATGTATGGATTGAGATAAACTTTTTTTACTTTAAGTTATACTAGTTAAACAATCCATTATAAACCATTACGAAATATAATTTTTAATTTGTTTTAAGGACTTGTGCAAAAAAAATCTTTTTTTCTCATTAAAACCCGCATCCCAAAAAAGTAATGTCAGGTACGTAATGTATATAAAATTAAATAATATTCCATTCATGCACTCCCTAATAACATAACATATGACATATGACATTTTTTTTTATTTATTGACATTTAAAAATAAAAAATGACCAGTTATGTTCTAACAGATATTTTGCAGCCAGCATCTGTACAGCCGTTGCTAGGCAACCATCACAATCTTAGTTAAGTCTGCATCCGCGTTGTCTGCCTTGTTCGGTGTAAACGAGGACGATCTTAAATCATCTCCAAATGCCACATATCCGCTAACGTAGAACTTTTATTTATTTCACAAACTTGACTTATGTCCGAAATATGGTGATTAATATAACGTAAATTATGTGGCAATTGTTAATTTTTGAGTTAATTGAATTTTTCGATAGTGCCAAATGTTTGGGTTGTAAAATTGTAGTTTGAAATTGGAACATTATTTTCATAAATCAATTCTTAAAATAATTTTTTGAGCGGTTTAAAAATACCATCTATTACCAGTTTAACACAAACGTAATTAGATTTTGAAATAGATTGAAAATAAAACTATCAGTACGCGAATCATACAACTTATCGTTGATTATCGAAGACCAATGCGGTAACATCCGATTCCAACCATTCCACTCAACCTAAATGTTAGGTAACAAGGAAAACTTTTGTGCATCTTATAATTTGCATTATGTTTTTAAAATCTGTCAATCAACAAAACACATAAAGACATTTGACAATCTATCGGATATGTTTTTACTTACAAATTAGTTTTGTATGCTTATGCACATGATTCTAAGAAATAATTACGTTTATTTCTTACATTTACTTTAATTACATAATTGTCATACAATCTTACTAATATTATAAATGCAAAATTAACATGGATGGATGGTTAGAATTTGTTAGGGATTGTAGACTGCAAAACAGATCACGATGACCTTTGGCATAGATGTAGAGGATAGTCTGGAAGAATATAGGCCACTTTCTTTTATTTTATTAAACACGTGGTCGGAGTCGAAGGCGAAAGCTAGTAGATACGTAACTTATAGATGGATCGATTTATACAAGTTTAACGTCTTATTAGTAATAGTCGATTACTTTTTTTTTAAATGTAATTTTATATTGTAAGTTATATTGGAGCAATTGACCCCAATAAAAGGGTCCCGGAGTTCTATTTTTCGCGTCAATTTTGTGCTCTGGCTTACGTATCTATAGATTATAAATCTATGTGTCATATCTTATACTTTATGTTTTATTTTAAACTATGCTTCAAGAAAAACCACTATGTTTGTTAAAACGTAAACTGTATGTCCTTGTTTAATGTTTTAGAGTATAGAAAAATGAACAATGGTGATTATCATAACATAAAAAGTTATGGATACCTTAAGTAATAATTTAAAATTATATTTTGTATAAAGAAAATGATGACTAGATTATGGGTATTTACATTAATGTTAAGTAACTATTTCATAACATAGCCTTAGTCAAATAACCACTTTTAATTTATTTTAATATGCAGATCCGAGATTAAAGATAATTACATTAATAGTAATATTATAAATGTAAAAGTTCAGATGGATGGATGGATGGATGTTAGACTTTGTAGCCTAAACGGCTGAACTGATTTCGATGAAATTTGGTAAAGATCTGGAGGATAGTCTGGAAGAACACATAGGCTACTCACTTTTGTTTTCTTTAATTCCACGCGGACGAACTCGCGGGCGAAATTAAATCTATAAACTAACAAACTTTAATAAATTAGCATAGGGGATTTTGTTACATTTCATTTAGTTATGCAAATAATAATCCAACTTTGCCTACATAAGCTCGATGCCTATTTAGTTCGCAGAATTTGTTACCGTAACCGAATTACGCTCCGAAATTGAACACTGAAGGATAAAGTGTGGGAAGTTAGTTACATCATAACATCTGCGCCGGCGCATAACGTTTGAACACTTTAATTGTTATATTTTATTACATTCGGTTACATGTAGGATTTCATTATTAACAGGAGAAGTATTAAAAAGTATTAAAAGTTGATACACCTAAATAAAATCCTTTTTATATGATATGGTGCTGCCAATAGACATTAAAATTTGCAGACACGTTGCCTATCGTAAATCAACAGAGAGGACGCACAGAAGAAGGAAATTTCCGGCCCTATGCGTTTCATCCCCCGCAAAATCCACGTTCTGTCCTTGTATAAAAAGATTGGAAGGGGACGAGGACTAAAATTTAGATTCCGAAACGAGTATCCTCTAGTTTGTTTAGTTAGTTAAATTTTAAAAGTAAAATATTGTAGGGAAAGGTGATCTATGTGTGTTCGCTCCACTTTGACCCGCGCGTGTCAAGTGCGCGCCCGCGTCGTAATACCTTGCGTAATTAGTGAAACACGACTTCTACCACCACGACATAGAGTAACTCACGTACAGAGAAATCATTTTAGTAATAGATTGTTTTAATGTAGTAACATTCTTAAGGAATAAAAGTTTGTTTTTCTATATGACGTAATTTTTCTAAAGATGAACATTTTTTATTATATTTTAAGTAATTTACACGCTATTTTTGGCGATAAAATGTCGAAACCTAAGTACTTCCACTTACCAATAATATACACAAATGTAGTTTGGATTGTTCCATAGTCTGTGCCATTGTGTTGTAGTAAAACTTATAAAAAGTCTCGATCTGAAAAAAAAGAAAAGTTTTATTTACATGAAATAAATAACATTTTATTAGAACAATATATTAGGTTTTTTTTAATCCTAGAAACCATTCAATATATACTACTATTTAAATCTATATTGAGGCTTAATGTTCGCTAAAATAATGCGGAAAATTGTAAACGAACATAAAAATGTCCTAGGATTAAAAATCCCTAATATGCTGGTTTCTAGAAACCATTCAATAAATACAATTTTGATAATATCTATCGAGGTTTAATGTTCGCTAAAACAATTGTAAACATAAAAATATTTTAATTACTTCATTTAGTTATTTTATCGTGTTACGTACTTCATTGAGGATGTTCTTAAGGTAACCTAAATAAAACCTACACCGATGTTGTGCAGTTCGCGGTAACAATGACAGAGAAAACCCCGGTGTCATGGCCGCTCACGATCGGATCTCTATCGCACACCCAAACCAAATTGACGCACTTATCCTCGGGTATTCCTAGCGTTTACGCTGTCTGGTACTAGTTTTATTATTTCCAACGATAAATACAACCATAGGCGTCAACAACTAATTATCTATTCATAATAACTTGTCAATTAGAAATGTTAGTCAGTGGTCTTAATGTCTAATTTACATTTTTCTATTCTCTCGCAAGACACCTCTGGCGACGCCCATAGGCACAGTTGTCAAACCTTGCTCTTAATTACTTAGAATTAAACTGTAATTAAATCTAAAAATTAAGCGTGGTTGGTTTTAATCAGATACTACTTCTAACATGTCAAAGTTTACCAGCATATAATAAAATAACACTAATAAAATTATCTACGTGAATACAGACGAAAGCATAACATTTTATAATTAAATTTTAATATTAGGCTGGAATTTTTTGGCATAAATTGTATTATAAGATAAAGACAATGTGTAGTAAAGCATACAAAGTATTCGACAAATAGTTACCAAGTAAGTTTATTCAGAAAACAATAGCGTTATTTCTCACGAGAGTATTTTAACAGTATGAAAATCAACTTAATAATTAATGGAGGGTTTTGGTTAAGAACTCAGATATTTTTTGTTATTTGCCAATAAATAAAATGAAACATAATTTTTATAAATTCTCTCAGTTAATATAAAACAGAAATAGAAATGTTTTTAAGCGTAAAAGGTAATAATGCACTATAGCTTAATAATTATATTAAAAAAAACATAAATAGTACATACGTAGTCTTGACCGCAATGGCACACAAGAGAAATTAAAAATGTAAAAAAAACCTTTTACGCTGGTTTTTGTTATCACTTCAACCTCGTTCGTATTTAATTTAACGTGACAAAAGGTTGTTGCCCTTGCAAAATTAAATAGATCACAAGGAAATGTCATAAGATCATTCAATATGAGAAAGGTGCCGATCGTGGCTCATTCACTTAGCCGCAGGACACGCTAATACTTATCTTAAGTGTGGATTACAAAACAATTCCTTTGCCTGCCACAGTCACTAACACTTTACTAAGTTGTCATTTAAACAATAGAAAGAAAAAACAATTAATTTCCTTCGATACAAAAGTAAGTTATTTATTAAAGACTAGCTGTTCCCGTGCGGCTTCAACCGCATGGCATTATGAAAATTTTATTTTATTGTTTACATTTGTCAAATTATCAATTGCAAATGACAAAGTGACATGACGATGGCTACCTTGCTTCCTTGATGTTGGCAGCAACTTATGGTCTCTTTCCCACATTAGGGTTTTAATCCAAAATATTTACCCCCTAAGTTTAATGGCGTGAAAACATATAGCCTAAAACGTGTCGCAAGTGTAGGGCTTTTTATTAAAATAAGAATTATTCAAAAATATGCTGTAATTGCTGACATCTTAGGCAACAAAGAAGTGTGTGTTTACGCTTTATTATAATAGTATATAGTATAGATACACCAACGTTTTAAAAAAATTAAGAGAACATCATTTCTCAACATAAATCTTTAATTAAAATTTCGTTTCTCAGAGTTCAGTTTTTGTTAGAATATAGAGCATGAAATTGGAAGTTGACCTTTCGTGAGTGATTTTATTACATTACAGACAGTTATTAGTTTCGACTATAACATCAACATTATAATTTGCAATAAAATTCAACACGCGAAATAAAATAATCACCGAAAGAATACAATAAAACCACTGCAATGTGTTGCAAGACGTGGACGATATATAAATGTTTATGATTTATTATAACAATTTAAAACGTACAAATAAATAATAAAAAGCTGTAAATACAATGGGTGTCGATGTTTTGTAAATATTAGTTTGAAATTATTCTATACATTTTCGTCATACAAAAGACTTCAACGTGCTTGAATTTTCACGCACACTACATTACTCGTCGCAAATATACAATCAAAATATTAACGAATTTATTTATATTTAGTAATTGTTTTATCGTTCTTCGTTTAATACTAAAAATGTTGCCTAATTAGCGTATAGACCTTCCATATTAATTACGAATTAACGTATTATAATTATACTAACTCATCAAACAAAAGGATGTACTGGTTTAAATATTATAGTAAGTGAAACTTCCTTTTGTTACTTATATAAAATCATGGCCAGCCGCTAAAATTAGTGCTATGGGCATGTTATGAGGAGGGATGAATCGCATGTTACAAGGAGAACGTTAGTAATGAGTGTACATCGGTAGAGGTATACCTAAAAAGAGATGGATTGCGTGAAAGGTGACATGATCAAGAAGGGAGTCGTAGCTGAGATGACGTATGATAGTTTGTGCAGGACAAAAACCTGTTGCGCCGACCCTACAGGAGTACGAAGGAGGAAGATGATGATATATATAAAATCATAGAGTATATATACTTAAAAGAATGGTCTTATTACATTAAATTACTCAAACACAAATGCACCGAGCTGGTAGTTAATCGTAGAACTTATGTCCAAAGACTCACTCGATCTTATTTATGTTATTTCTTATTATGTTTAAACTGTCATGTAGGTACAAGTTTTAAGTTAGTGTTCTTTTTTTAATTTCGAATTTACAACTTAAAGAGCTCTTGTTGACATTTTTATATTATTTATGACGTGATGGGGCCACTCTTTACGCATGTAAACAATAAAAATACCAGACATGAGTAAAATATGCTTTGTAGTTTAATTAAGACTGAAATATTTACTTGGAAATATCAATTGCATACTTATTAGAGTTTCTCTAAAAGTATTCTTACATTTTTAATAAATTACTTTAAGTTTTTTTACGTCGTGCACGCCAAAATATAACAAAACGTTACCACAGATCTAAAATCTAGACGAAAAAAACAACGACCTACCGTCTCGTTCCACACACAGCACTAATTCACGTTATACAAAATAATATGATTTATCGATCGTAAATGTCTAAAACAGATCTCACTAGATCGAATTTTTCGACGGCGAATTTCGGCACATGCATGTCTACGTGTGTACGCACGCGGTCGCTCGCTGCGCGCCGCGGGCGGGACTGCCGCTGCCGGCCTACAGACGGCGCAAGTGTGCTAATCGCGCCAACACGCACTGCATAATCAACCAACGGGACATCTATAGAGCTGAACAACCGAAAACATAAACAAATTCTACAATAGCTGTTGTGATATTTTCATTAATCATAGACTAAATATGCCAATGTCCCAGTCATTTAATTTAATGTAATATTTTCTGTTTTTCTTATATTAATGTATAATAAGGAATTTCTTTGTACTATATACTATCGCACTTTTATGTCATAACAATAGTATGTTTCAAAGCTATTGATCGGGTACAATCCTTTTAATGTTTCTGAATATTTTCATTCTGAAATATTCCTTCTGAAAGAATCTCGAAATTCTAAATTCTTAGTTTTGTGATATATTCAGACCTCCACAAAAACTTGTCACACTAAAATTAAATGTATCGGAGTAACAACTCTATTGAATCCACACCTGACATAATCGTAGAGCGAAGCAACCTACTTACAAGGCAAAGAAAGCAATGCCTTAGACGTATTGTCGTCCTCTATGCTGCCCTCTGCTTCCGTGTAACTCCCACCAGAAAGCATTAACTAGTAAAATATTGCAGAAATACGCAAAAAAATAATATAATTTTAATAATCAATTTGTGCATTGAATAAATTGCAATATTATCTTATAGAGCTTTCGCCTGCGACTCCGTCCGCGTGAAATTAAAAAAATAATATAAAACCCATGTTACTTATTGACAACGTAGCTTTTTATTGGTGAAAATATTTTTGAAATTGGTCCAGTAGTTTTTGAGTTATTTCATTACAATCAAGCAAACAGAGTTTTCCTCTTTATCTATACTAATATTATAAAGAAGAAACTGCAATTTTGAATGTATTGAAATAACTCAAAAACTCCTGGGCTAATTTTAAAAATTCTTTCACCATTAGAGAGGTACTTTATGTGTGAACATAGGCTATATGTTTTGTTATTTATTTACTTCCACGCGGACGAAGTCGCAACAGCTAGTAATATTATAGTATAGATAATTTCGAAGTTTAAACTTTCAGCAACATAATTGTATTTGACTTCTTCTCTATGGTTACGCAAAATTTCTATGACCATTGAGCATATTTCATGCACTTTTATTGACTAACAGTCTGCCGAGATAACTCAAGATCGACCTTGGAACAGCGGCGCCACTAGATTAATGCACCGGCAGACTTAGTTATACGAAAATTTAGAAATTCATACATAATTTATCTTCCTATCAAAATAGGACATTTTTAACATTAAATTTTGTATCATTTCAGGTAATTTCCTGTGCCACTTCCTTCTACGCCATTGAAATTAGAAAAAGAACGTGGAATAATGCAATTTATACCGATTAAGGGCTGGTTTTACCGCTACTAGTACCCTGAAGTAATTTCTAGTGCGATCTCTTACCACGCATTTGCGGTTACATGACAATATAATTCACAGAACTTTTGCCCCTATCATTCCAGCACGAGCGATCGCCCACTGAACCTTGGAAAAAAGAATGGCACCGGACATAACGAGCGCCTTTTCTCATATAGATTTCTATTGTATTTAATGGGGGCCGTTGAAATATCGCCCAGGGCGCCGGCTCTTAACCCCGGTACTAAATGAATACATAAACCGGTAGAATAAAATCAAATAGTCATCTGACGAGTGTTATATTTTTTTACGAAAAAGGATAATAAATACCTCAATCGTGAGTCAATTTAATGACATAATTGTTTTTATTTAATAGAAAGTCATGTATTTATTGTATGCATGAGTAACTGTTATTAGTGTTATCTGGTGATATTCAAGATTTATTATTAAACATATTAGAATGTTAAGATGGATGTGTGGGGTAACACGAATGGATAAGATACGAAATGAGTATATTAGAGGAAGTTTGAGAGTAGCCCCCATAGTAGAGAAGGTTAGGAGTAAAAGGTTAGCATGGTATGGGCATGTTATGAGGAGGGATGAATCGCATGTTACAAGGAGAACGTTAGTTATGAGTGTGGAAGGGTACATCGGTAGAGGTAGACCTAGAAAGAGATGGATGGATTGTGTAAAAGGTGACATGATCAAAAAGGGAGTGATGACTGAGATGACGTATGATAGAGTTATGTGGAGGACAAAAACCTGTTGCGCCGACCCTACGGGAGTAGGATAAGGAGATGATGATGATGATGATTATTAAACATATTACGAGAACTATACAAAACAGACGTTATTTACGCTATAATTAAATATAGTTCATAGAACACTAGAGGTAAGCCTTTTTTCTTTTAATCAGGAAAAGATCTACTAGAATTTAAAACTTTCTATCTATGGGTTTTAGTTTTGTTGCTGTATTTCTTACAGTCTTAAAAAACTAAGATGAAATGCTAAAGTGAAAATACAAGTTAACGTTATGAAGAAAGTAATGCGGTTTATATTTTCTTTTCTAGATCTGTAACGTAACCAATCCTTGTAGATTATGCGTAAGATAATTACGAGTTTGTTCAGTATTTATTGCGCAATTTCTACGTACTGGCCGAACACAGTGCAAACTACAAAGTGAAAACACTTTCTAGATTTAGACACATCTCTGTTATTTTCTTTGCTTTTCCTGTGCGCTGGACAGGATGTTGCTAATCACTCTAACAAGATTTGTCTTGTCGAATAATAGTACATCTAGAAAACAAAGATGTATTAAATTACTTTAAAATTCTAGCATTTTGTCATTTTTCCTTCTACTACCATGATACTTCGCCATTTAGGCGGACTCGGATGACCGCTTGCTTGTTTGCTTAATTATAAGATAAAAAATAAAATAGGTATACTGTGTTAGAAGCGCCAATAGCCTAATGGTTTGGGGTACTACCGATCTTGCGATCGAGGGTTCGAATCCCGCCATTCGACTATCGTCGTGAACCATATTCTAGCACAAGCATAGAGCTTAGTTGGGATGGTTTAAGGAAATATTAGTAAATTAACAAAAATCTGATATTTAAAATAATGAACTATACAGACTAATTATTGCTTCTGTTTTGATATGTGAATGAGAGGCAAGAGGTCATTGTTCTTGTGTTTTCATAAATCCGAATTGAGATGAACATTTTAAACGATCAACACATGATTACGGAATAAAAGTTAATTAACAAACGTCGGATACAGGGGTTAATGTATTGGGTAGAATTACTAACAAAAGAACAAACGGGCGATTGTACTATTGATACTATCAAGTAAACGTTTGTCCGTTAAAGCGTGACATACGCGCTACAATGTCGCAACCAGATCATATTGTGCAAGTCGTGTTTGTCATCGCAACTAATACTCTATTCCGGCAACGTGTATACTCTGGTTTCTTTTTATATTCTAATAAAAGTGACTATAAATGGACTTAAAATGCTTTCCCTTTTTATTCAGATTGCAGACGAATGCGACGCGGTTGGAATCCTAAATATGATCTTTGCAATATTCTTACGCAGACTCTGTTTCCATTATGCGATACGTTGAACACATTTGATGTGTAATTAAAAGACTGTTTTTTTTTTTGTAACTGAATGGCCACTGCTTGCCTTGAAAAGACATTTACAGATTCACCGGGCTTGAGGTGGCCGAGCGCAGATTGTTGTTTACTTTAAAATTAAGAAGAAAACAAGCAGAAAAATCTTAGTACTTCGTTATACCATCGTAAAAAAATTAAATAAGATCGTAATTAGAAAGATTTTATAATAAATTACTTTGCATAGAATATTTATGATGGATTCATGAAATGCAGTTACTAAGTAAAAGTCACAAAATTAATAGATGTGGTTCCATTAGATGTTTTTATTTTCAACATTTGTGAACTAGTACTTATATACAATTATCGTGTCGTATACGTTAATGGTAGGCATCATTCGTTTGTAAAGAGATCGCTTGCGCAAGCGACGCGTGGGAACCAGCCGGCGCACGTCCGTATTCTCGTCTATATGCAAAAACGAGACGCGGCCGGAACTTGCTTCCGATACACTATCGCATTTTATACAACGTTTTGTCTTCAAGTTATATTATTAAACTATAAGTTTGATATTACAGGTGTGGTTAATTCAAAGAGTTCAACCGACGATTGCAATACGCTTTGTATAAATAAGTTATGATAACTTCTAATCACAATGATTGTTGAATAATCAACGTGTTTTAGTAAACGTAAACATTAATTAATTACTAGCTGTTCCCGTACGGCTTCGTCCGTGAAATTATTAATTTATTTAATTGTTTACATTTGTCAGATTCTCAATTGCAAATGTCAAAATTACCGTTACCATAATAACCTTGTTTCCTTGATATTGGCAGCTTGTAGTTTATGGTCCCTTTCCCAGATGAAGCCTTTTTTCCAGTTTATTTACCCCTTAAGTTTAATAGCGTGAAAGTTTAAAGCTTAAAGCGTGTCATAAGTGTAGGGATTTTTTTAAAGAAAGAATGATTTAAAAATATGCTGTTATTGCTGAAATCCTACGCCACAAAGTAGTGTGTGTACGTTTTATTATATTAGCAAGTATAGAAGTATAGATGATTGTAATAAATAAAATACGAGGTAAGTGGTAATGCCTTTTGTGTTACAAAAGATCGACCAGTACTGCGATTTTACAAGCGATATCTCCAAAGATCACGATCGCAGTGAGTTGTTGATCAGTTTAGTATTTTTTTCTCCAGAGTAACTGCCGCGCTCAGTTGATAATTGTAACTTAAAAACTGGCGCATGCCAGCTACAAGCATGTGTAAAAGCTAACTGGTATACCAGTAGCTACTAATTAGTATTACAATATTTGATAAATTGAGGGACACCGTCGAGTCGTGTGATTACGTATTACGCTAGTAGCTGGCTGGTGCCTATTACTAGCATGGTAATTAAGCGCCAATAGCCTAATGGTTTGGAATACGGACTACCGATATCGCGATCGAGAGTTGGAATCCCGCCATTCGACTATTGTCGTGAACCATATCCTAGCACAAGCCTAGAGCTTAGTGTAATGGTTAAAGGAAATATTAGTAAATTAACAAAATTCTACTAATGATTAAAAAAAAAAATCCCGCCCTAAGATTCAATGATGTTTACCTCCGATAAAGGCGCTGCATAAATGTAATACAAAGCTAACGGAATACTTTCTCACAAATGGTGCTAGACCCATTGTTCTTGGTTACCTAAGTAAAATTAATAAGGTAATAAAATTCTGTCTACAAGCTCAAGTTTTATATAACCATGAAAACAGCGAGAAGAAACTACGAAATTTTCATTAGCTTTAGAGCGGGTGAACAGCTTTGACTAAACAACCGCACAGCTGATTTGCGATTGTTTCTTTGGTTTAACTGTTTAGTTGCACAAATAAAAATCTAGTAGTGTGCGCACCTATATAAGCCCATATAATTTAAAACGCGACCAGTCAGTTGTGCGATAGTTTTGTGAAAGATGTGCACGCGCTCTTAAAGCGATTATATCAATAAGTAACCAATCAGAACGCTCTCTGGACCATATAACTTTCCTAAGAGTGGTTATCTTTAACTTGGTCTGCTTTAATGTATGACTAATCTCGGTGAAAACAGACATTTTGATTTTCAAATCACGTAGACGCTATCTTTTTTTCCTAAGAATTAAAAGGTAAACGATAGGACAATTGAACCAATAGTGGTGATACGAAAATAGACTTGAAAACAATCATTTTTAATTTAAACATTTACTACTAGCTGTTACTCGCGACTTTGTCCGAGTGAAATTCAAAAAATAAAAAAAAAACAGCCTGTTAGAGTTTGATTGCGAAGGAATTTTTAAAATAGGCCAAGCAGCGTTTTAAATTTTAAAAACATACAAAATGCAAAGCTTTCCTTTTTATAATATCAATATAGATATTTACTACGTACGGTAATAAAGTTTTTTTTAATTACTGTTTTAGTAAAAAGTCAGGTGACAAGAAAACAAAAAATTGAAGGAATCATTTATTTTTAATTTAATACAATAAAGTCACATCGACAATAAATAATTTAATTGTTAAACACATCAAGTCTACATACAGATAGGAAATAGTTCTTCGGTTTGTTGCAAACATTCTTGGGATTACTTCCATGAAAATGTATCGATTTCGTCATATGTAATTTTTCATCGATTTATAAATTTGTAGTACAACAAAAACATACTCTCTCTCTCTCTCTTCTACTCCTCTGCCCCACTTTGGGGACATAGGAGTAAAAGAGAAAGAGAGTACAACAAAAATATTTGCCAACAAACCTTGATATCAGATCTTTGCATATTATAATTTATTTGTGACAAAGTTTACAACATTGAGATATTCAAAGATAAGAAATCGATGATAAGAATAATTGTGAATATGTCGAGAATTTGAGGCATTTTAAAATTAAAGTAAATATGTTATGAAACTACAATTTGACTCATCAATGGTTAAAATAAAACAATCTAAGACATTTAACCGATAGACAATATAATTTTTAGCAATCGCTTACAATTAAATTAAGATTGTTCTGCGTCATTTACAAAATAATGTAAAAAAAACCTTTTAATTTTCAAATACACTCAAATTCACGTCATTAAATATATGAAAATGCCAGCATGATCATAATCTAAACACATCAAAGATATAAATTGAAATCGATAATTCTAAAAATTTACTCTAACACGTCTAATATTACTATGAAAGTCCACTGTTATGTCACTTGTATACACATATCGTTGTCTCTTTTATTCAAAGGGAACAAAAAGAGACGAACATGTCAATACAAATGTCATATCAGTTAACCGTTAATTAATCTAAACATTCAGCACATTGAAACATTTAAATAACTAAATATAAACATCAATACTTAAAACACAACATTTATTTTGCGCACAAATAAGGGATAAACATTATACACTTAATTATTAACTAAAAATTGGTAACATTTGTTTTATTATGACATATTTGGAACAAAAAGATCGCTGTGAAGCTTGCAAAAAGGATATTTTACCGCCATTTGCATAAAACGCGGCGCCATTTTGAAAAAAGCGTCATAGATTATACAAGCTGTCAAAATGTCAAATTGTTTATGCCTTACTTATGCACTATCATTAAACAATGATCAGTTGTAACATGAAATAAACTATCAGGTAGTTAACTTTGTCCTGGGGCAAATAAACTTTTAAATATAAAACTTATTATTTACACTTATTTGGGGCATTGATAGTCATGACACAATAAATCTAAATGCCACATATTTTTAAAATTTATAGAATACAGCAAAGACTAAAAGAAAATAAGAAGTACTTCAGAATGGACACAGAGAAAAATGATTAAGAATTGGCTTTTAATATTTTTTTTACTCAAAAAAAAATCTTATTTTGCGTTCGAAATACATTACATTAGCAACTTAATAAAAAACGTTTCCATTTTAATACGACTGGGACTAATTCTAGTAAAATATGAAGTTTTTTCACCTACATATGCACATACTATTACATCGGAGGGTAACAAACCACTTTTACTATTAACTATCGGAGATATTTTTACATTACTTAAATCTCAAAAGAATTTTCTAGCAACCTAACTTTTTAATTATAAAATCAAGATCTACAAGAGAATAAAATGCGACTGCGTTCTAAAACAGATTGTTATAAATAATTTATAAAAAACTCTACAAAGCATTTCACAAGAAACATAAAGAACCCTAATTAGTACCGGATTTAGTGTTACTAACGCCTTGGGCGACGTTGGGTGTCCCCTTTATGTGATTCTTGGGGGGAGATAGAAAATTGATGATAAACGCCCCTTTTTCAGCGCCCTGGGCGGGGTCGCTCTACCCGGTAATGACTACTTCAGTTATATCTTCATTAATATAAATTTCTCTTTCTTTCTGTTTGACAAGACAGAGACAACATATACTGATACGTCACAGCTTTCAAATTCTATGGTTACATCGAATACATGCATTTAATTTATCTATACTTTTTAAACTCTATTTAAAACACTTACCACATTACAAATAAACGCGGTATAAAGTTAAACTTAGGAACAAACAAAGTATAAGAAAAAATTGTACTAATATTTGTTTATACTCAGTTTCTTCCTAAGTTTAACTCTATGTAATGTAGGTAACCGGAAATAAACTGTCCGCGAATTACCTTTTTAATTATGCATAATTATTGGTCAGTCGGATTACCGCGTTTATTCGTAATGCTGTTATAATTGGTTAACAGCTATATAGAGTCAAAATTAACAATAAATGTTAATCAAAACGTTAACAATGAAATTTTACAAAGAATATTGTTATTTTTGTTCCTATATAACTATAGCAACATTCGAGCACGTCACAAACATAATATTAGATAATAACTAACATAAAATCACATTATAATCACAAAACTTAACAAATTTTACATTAAAATGAAAAGTTATGTTATAAAGATGGTGAATGAAACAGTATTAAAAATATATTAAACTAGATTTAAAAGATCCATACATTGTATAGTGCTATTCAAACTTTATGGATGCTCGCTATCTTACACGAGACTGCGCACAACATTAAGGTTGAAATTTATAGAGCGCATTTCGACTTTACTGAGGACTTTACATCAAACTAACACGAGAACTTGCTCAGTGTAATCTCAGAATTGCAATTTATAGTAAATTTGGACTGAAAATTTACTGAGTACCTATATACCGAGCAAGAGCTTGGACAATTTTCAGTATATACGCAATTCAATTCTATTTACTAGTAAGATAAATCTAAGCTTTATAAATTTCAGCCCAAATATTAGCGGGATGCAAGTGCTCGCTTACCACGACCTAACAAGTTTGAATCTTTTAATAGCAGAAAGATTTCCTTGGAAATATGTTTAATTTATCAAAACGATAGCGTTTTTACATATTACTTTTGATCTAAGATGTATAAAAACGAAAAATTACTAAATTATAGTAAAAATAATATTAAAACTAAAGAAATTCATAATGACAAACAATGTACAGTAATTTTCCATAAAAAGGTCCTAACATAGCAACACCAAAGGCCAAAATTGAAAATACTACATTTTAATCACATAAATACATAACAACGAAATACTTAAGACCCGTAAAAGCGTATTGAAAGAACATACAGTTTTTGATTTAAAAAAAAATTGGAGCTTCTAAATATACGGTATTTTAAAAGGCTTAGTAAAAAGGTAAATGTAGATGGAAAAATGTAAGCTATTGACCAAGAGCAATGAAAATTAGGTAAATTGAATATTTCTTTGGTCTGTTTATTAAAGGCGATGACTTCAATATACCATGATTTTAAACCGCAAACACAATAATTAAAATAATTTTAAATCTAACATAGAATTTAAAAAGTTACTAAACATATTAAAAATTAGTTTTAAGAAGAAAAATTAAAAAAAAAAATATACATATTTACATACAGCAACGGATCTAGGATGTATAAAAATAAACAAAAAACCCAACATTTCATGAAATTTAACATACAAAGTATGAAAATAGTAAGGTTATAATTACAAATTTTGACACAAAATATTTCACTTCATTTAAAAACCAAATCCTTCCTTAAATCCGCTACTGTTTAAATTAAAAATACATAGTGGATATTACAAATTTGATACTAAAAGTACAAAATATATTATCATAGTACCCATTATAATTGGGAATGATATCCCAAAAGAACCTGCTTTTCAAATGCATTACCACTTTTTGTGGTGGCAACCCTGTGAGTTGTATGATAAGAAATTTGGCAACACTACAATAAAGCATGTTTACTAAAGCAAGAAAAGGATAAATAAATAGGCATTTCTCAAGAGAGAGTGAGACAAATATATAAGAGAAATGCAAAAGTGCGAGAGAGACAAAAATTGCTTTCAAACTTCATTTACGATCGGTGACAATTCATTAAAAGGAAACTTTCGGTTATATAATAAATAACCTATAAATATATGGTAAGTAAATGTATACGCTTGGACGTGAACCGGTTTGGACAGATATTACAAATAGCTTGTAAAATGTGTGCATTCATATTTTTTACGTAAATGTAAATATTTGATAACGTGTATCAAGACAAAGAAATTTAGAGACTAGAATACAATGAATACATTTGATACACCTAAGATATTTAGTGCTTCGATAGGCAAATATTTGTTTATTTTTGTCATACATATCAACTTAAAACTCAAAAAACACATATATCAAATACATGTATTTGTAATAATTTCATAGCCAAAGAAAAGCGGAATACTTAATGTACTGTGTAGCTTACGAATGCATGGGGCTGGCGGCGTGGGGCTCACTGCTTGGAACTTGCTGCGTGGGGCTGGCGGCGTGGGGCTTGCATCAGGCAGCGTGGGGCCGTGGGGTCCGCGGTGTGGGGATTGCAGCAGGCAGCGTGGGGCCGTGGGGTCCGCGGCATGGGGTGTGGGGCGTGGGGCTTGCAGCAGGCAGCGTAGGGCGTGAGGTTCGAGCATGTGGCATGGAGCTTGCAGCAGGCAACGTGAGGCGTGGGGCGTGGGGTGTGGGGCGCGCTTAGGGCACCATGTTGAGTATGTTGCGGTTCTCGAGGGACTCCTTGAGCGCGTAGAACAGCTGCAGCTGCTGCTCCGGCTTCAGGTTGTAAACCTTGATAATAACAAATTCATTTGCTTACTATGTAACTTTTTCGATTAAATCAATTCTGATATAATTGTAGAAAACAAACAACTTTGACATATCTTTGAGAAATGGAAGTTTAATTACAATCTATTTGAATACAAAATTACCTTGGGGTTCTCAGACCTATTTTTGTGTATTACTTAGTGATGTTTGCACAGTAATTAGTTTCATTTTTTTCCACAATATGGCGCAGGTTTTATGTTCTATTCGGACGTTTACCAGCTTTATTTCCACGTATATCGCCTATATTTGCGATACGAAGAATGAATCCAGGGTTTATAAAGTATTAGTTGTCCGTGTCGCGGAGGTACCTGCTGCAGCAGCTTCTGCGGCGTGGCGGTGCGGATGAAGCTGGTGATGTAGACGTTGACGAAGGTGGCCATGAGGAACTGGCAGTCGAAGCGGTCCATGATGCCGCCGTGTCCGGGGATCACGTCGCCAAAGTCCTGCACGATCAACTTTTATGTTCATTTTGTATCATCATACTAATATTATAAATGCGAAACTTTAGTAAATGGGTTTTTGTTCGTTTTTCTGAACGGATCTGAATGAAATTTGACATAGATGTAGAACATAGCCTGAGAAAAAACATAAGTTGCTTACATTTGTTTTTTTTTCTAATTCCACGCGGACGGAGTCGCGGGCAAAAGCTAATATATGATTACCATTACATACTTTTATTGCAAGCAATCTGTCTGCGATATATGTTAAATAAATTTTTACAATTAAAACCAAGGGTATGGAGAAAATAGGTGGGGAAATATCCCTTTTCTGTACTTCTTTGTTCAATAAAGATATTCAACGCATCTGTAAATGCGTACATCTGGGCAACGGTTGTTTCGCTATTTTGGCAAAAATTATTAGCCGCTCGCTCGTAAAAAAAATAATAGTACCTTGATCTTGAAAGCGCGTTTGAAGCCAGATGCGAAGAACCCTCCGAAGGGTCCGATGACGGAGCTGAAGATGCTGAGCGCCAGCGAGTGGATCATGAACGGGTACATCGTCATCTTTTCACGGCCAGACTGGAAACAAATTCGTACAGACACCTTGACAAAGTAACTTACGATAAACCATAAATCATACTAATATTAAAAACGCGAAAGTTTAGATGAATGAATGTTTCTTAGAGTTTGTAGCCTAAACTGCTTAACGAATTGTGGTGAAATTTTGTATAGATGTCTACATCTACTTCTATCATCTCTATATCAGATTATCCTCTAGGATAATCTGGAAGAACATGTAGGCTACTCACTTTTGATTTTTTAATTCCACGCAGACAGAGTCGCGGGCGAAAGCTAGTATGTCTAACATATTATTTGAATGTTTACATTTTATTTTGTGACACTTAAGTTTCTTTTATAACGAAAGATAGTGATTTGATTGGTATTATTACATGTCAATGCAAAAAATTAACGATTTTTTTTAAAATACCATAAATTAAAACGGTTAGTAAATTGAAGGTGAGGACAGATCGGGGTGACGGTTGGGAATAATGCAGTTATGTCTGACCAGTTTGATGAGGGGCTGCAGGAAGTGCGGCGGCGTGTACTCCTGCAGGCGGAAGAGGGAGGAGGGCTCGCAGTCCATCGTCATGCGGCCCAGCGACTCCGAGTACTCGATGGGGCACACCAGGTACGGGTACTGCGACATCAGGTACGACAGCTGGAAGGATACATTGTAACGGCATTAGTACTCTTACTAACATTTGTAGTATATGGCTATAATATAGGACCTAAACTTTAAATCATATAAATATTATAAATGCGAAAGTTATGATGGATGAATGGATGTTTGTAGCGTTTGTAGCCTACACGGCTGAACGGATCTCCATGAAATTTGGCACAGATTTAGAGCATAGTCTGAAAGAACACATAGGCTACTTCTTATCCCGAGAATAGTTACGGTTCCCGTGGTATTCATAAATTTAGTTTTTTAAATGTTTACTAGATCATTCTGCAACGGTTCAACATATCTTATTGGAGTTTGGCACAGATAAAAAACAAAGTCTGGAGTACACATGAGATAAGGTTCATCCCCAAGAAATGTCCGGTTCCCGAGGGATACGTAGCTTTTTATTATTTGTATGTTTTCTAATACCACGCGGACTAAGTCTCGGACAACAGCTAGTAGTAAATATTTTTTAAGAACTAGTAAACTTAACATTATGTGGAATAGTTCATGCTTTAAATTAGACCAATAATCTATTTAAGAAACAAGAGATTAAATTGGAATAAACATACTATCTTGTAGTCAGATAAATAATCTTACGACAAGTCCAAAGATAACTGTAGAAAATCCACCGCCGATGAACCCTTCCCACGTCTTCTTGGGGCTGAGTTTGATGAGCGGCGTCTTGCCGAAGAAGAAACCGAACACGTACGCCATCACATCGTTGCAGATAATCATAGACACAGGCACTATGAACCAGATCAAGCCTGCAACAACAATACTAATAATTATATACGAATGTTTGGATGGATGTTTGTTCCCTTGTCTCCAAAACAGCTTAATGGAACTCGATGAAATTTAGCACAGATGTAACACAGTCTGGAAGAACACTGTTTACTAAGTTTTTATTAATTACGCGGACAAAGTAGCGGGCAAAAGCTCGTATAACTATAATATATTGTATCTGGTCTGTTACGGAGCACTAAAATTATGAGGGGCTTTGATTTCATAACATTCAATGTGCAATATCAATGCCCTCACGGTGAATCAGGCGTCGTAACACGTGTTATGGTAATATTGCTTATTCACATTTTCTTTAAATAAACTGAGATAAAAAATCTTTAATTATGAATTACATAAAAAAAATGTATCTTTCATTATATGAGAAATAAAAGTATTTTATTCTAATGAAATGGACAGGAAGCTATAAATGCAAAAATAATTTACTCTACAACTGAGTTTATTAAATTCAAAATTACCATAAGTGAACTGTTGAACCCTTCGCACGAAATAATTAACTAAATTATCACACAATGGAAACGAGTTCTTTGCCCAAACATTTACATACAAAGTTCAAAGCTCATGTATTTTACGAGGTCTAGTTAAAAATACGATATACTTGAAAACGTCGTAAAACTTGTGTAGGTATAGTCTTAACATTGGGAGTGTCGAACAAAATTGCAATCCATGTTATCTATGCCCGATAAAAAACCACTTCACGGGAATTAGGTCCGACGAAAAACAGGTTTTTACAAAAAAATATAAATACCAATAGTTAGGAACGTTTGTTATGTGATGTTTTTAGGCTATTATGGAAGAAATGTACAGACAGAAGTAGACGCTTATTTTGTAATTAATTTTTTACGTAAATTCCAACAATTTCTTTCCTAATAAAATCAGAAGGAAAAGATTTAAATATTCCACATATTTAAACTTATTTAATGTTTTAATTTCAGATTTTTTCTTTAACAAAATTAAACATTACTGTGATCAAAGTATTAAATCATAAAACAAGAATTTGTTACTCTGCCCCGGCGAGTAAAACTTTGTACGATCTAAAAATATAACATTGTTTACCGGACAACGCGCAAGCAATCAACTCGTTGCCCTACATTTTTAAACTAAACCCACGTCCCGCCGCACACCGGGCGTGGCATGTCTAGAAAATTCATTAAAAAGTGACAAGCATTCAAATTATGATATCTACTCAACTATTTATAAATGGAGAATTTATTTTTGTTTTCCCAAAAACATTAAACTATTTCAATGAAATCTTGCAACAAAAAATCATACTATGATGTATTTTCTAATGCTTTTTGGACTTAGCACCTTGAATGGATCGATAGCTTAACTAAAACAACAACCAACAGAATTTTCATATTAACATAATATTACAAGAATTTTATACTCAAGACCTCTACGCTTTAAACCGGTTTTTACCAACATATTTACGGCCTCTAAAGTGTTTTAATAATTTCCTTTTACTCAAGGTATAATAAATACAAAACGCGACGGATCAACGCGTAAACAAGTGAATTAACACTTGCTTTATTACGTATGCATCCTTGACAAAGAATACGCGTGTGCTAAAAGAATCTTTATATCATTAACAGAAACATACTTTTTATTTATTTTACTGGGATAAGGCCTTGTCTACTGGGTAGCCATCACAAGGACCGGAAAAATAAAAATATATTTTTATTACGATAGACCACAAAGTTACGGTCAATACGGTCTTCGGGTTCACAGGAGACTCGATCAGGATCACGATGACTGGAATCCAAATTGGGGGTACACGAGTTGGGTCACGGAAATGTTAACTGCTTTCAATTACAATAAGTTCTGCCAGTATAATTTCAAAAGGGGTCCACGAGGAAAAATAATTTAGGTACCTCTGACTACCATAAAGCGTTAAAAGATAAGGAAATTCGTACGTTACATTATCCTGTTGTACACCCATGACAAAATGTTGGTATGGTAACGCGTAGCAATAAACATAGTTAAGAGTAATACCTATGTTGCTGGTTGTACATTATGCAACAATTGTTTATTTTTTACAAACAACATACGTTATAAAGTTAGGAAATAACTAGAAACCGACATTGGGAATAAATTTCACGCTTATGGCTTTATTGCGATAAATGCGTATTTAATCACTATACAAAAGTATTCCAACGTTTGTTCATTAAATGTTACCTAACCAATTCGTATTTAAAAATAATGGTAAAAAAGTATATTGAGGAAAAATTATAGCGGTAAAAGTTCTTAAGTCGGTGCAATGTCTTGAATTACCCAGTTGTATTTCCTTCACATCATTAAATTGCTATGTATTAAAAACGTTGTCGAAGCTACTGCAATTATAATAATGTATGTCGCCTTAACCATTATTAACAACATTGTATCAAGTCATCTGAACCTTTTTGTTGTTAGATATACTTGTTAAAATGAATATATTACAACAATACTCTATTTCATAAATTGACAGGTGTTCGAAGTAAAATTTGAAAATATTTCGTACTGACTGATCAATTTTATTGACAGTTCCCACCCTCCTACGGTCGGGGCGTAGATATTATGCGGGCGTGTGACCTAGATAGTTTGTTCGGCTTCCCCGGCCTTGTCGCGGCAAAGCGATCGCCTGTCAACACGACAGCCCATATCTGCTGGACATTTCCACTTGTATTGTTCGCAAATAGAACAAATAGAACGAGACTATAAAGAAATCTGATATAACACACAGATTAAACAATGACGCAGACTTAAGCTTAATGACGTATAAACATGACTAATGTAAAAGTAGGAAGTATTAAATCTGTATTTATTTATACAACTCTCAAGACGAAGAGAGAAGATAAAGAGATCGAGAGAATAAAGTCGCAAACATTATACCGTATTCGCAAACTCATTTGTCATAGTACAAAATCAAAGAGTCACAAAGAATAAACATCAGTTCTGTTGGACGCAGTATCAAAGAGTAGACATTTATAGACATTCAATTAGGTAAAATATAGTTAAAAGAAACATACCCTCAAAGATGTTCTGTATGATGAGGTAGCTCTGAGTGACGACGATAAGGAGAGCGACGTGCGTCCAGGCGAACAGGCTGAACTGGCGCATGTAGTAGCGCTTCACCAGCGACAGTACGAACCACACGAAGCCCACGCAGTAAAGACTGAACGAGATGAACCGGTGGTACGTCACCAAGAAGTGCAGGTAGTCCTAGGAAATAGGGATTGTTAAGAAACCCTAATGATTTACTTACATTTGTTTTAAAATACAATAATTTGTGCTACATGAAGTTAAGATTTCTTCTTAGAAATATTATCATTGTTGTAAAATTTTGTGTTATTCAATTGAGATTTCGGAGAGGATTTGAGAGATCGGACATTATAAAAAATAATATACAAAATAAACGCAAACTCAAGTTATTTGCAATATTATATTTAGACACTTATGAATATGTATTGCTCTTCACAAATGGGGAAAGGGATTGGCTCCTGCAGCACAGGGGAACCTAGTGCAGGAGCCAAGGCTCTCATGAAATGTGTATATTTTTAAAGTGAAATAATAAAGGATTTATTTATTTATTATTTATTTATTTATAAAGTATTTTTATTTAAAAAAAAAAAAGTATTTTTATTTTTTATTTTTTATTTTTATTTATATAGTAATTATAGTAGTATACTAGTTTAATGTGCTAGAAGACGCTTCAATTATCACTGCAATTACGTGAACTATTAAAGTTAATATATTGTTTACGATACGAAATAATCAGTCTCGGTACAATAATTATTGCGTTTATTGTTTGTAATGTGTCACATTGATTTAGTTAAGGTCGTACATGGTAACAATAATGTGATTTATTTATCTATGCTTTATACTTTAATATTATAAAGAGTAAGACTGGTTTTTTTTATTTTTCTATGTATTGAAGTAACTCAAAAACTACTTGGCCAATTACAAAAATTCTTTCACCATTAAAAAGCTACGTTATCACTGAGAAACATAGGCTATATTTTTCAATTTCAAATGGACGAATTCGCGACAACAGCTTGTTTTTAATACAACTGCTAGGTGATTTGATTGTTATATTACTTCGATACATTTCAGCAAAATTAGCAATAATTGGCTAATACACAGTTCAGATATCTAAAATGTGGATAAACCTACTTCGAATCCATCCGATATATTACCATTTACAGTCTGTTTTACTTAATTACTGTTATAGTTTCCAAACGTTTATCTTTATACTTTAAGGTTGACGTTAGAAACGTCAATGTCATGTCATATATCTGTCAAGTTTCTTGTTACCACGTTTTTCTAAAATACATACGTTTTCCTCGATAACTGCGTTTTATTCTAAATAATTGAAAAGAGAAAATATTATATTGGCGACGAGAGAATCTACGCTAAATGTCTACAGGTGATAAAACGTCGGCCAGCGCACGCGCTGTTTTAGCAGCGAAGACCGCCGACGCTGTCAGCGGTTCACTGCCAGTAGTACCACCGAATTTCATCGAGTTCTATGATTCGAAGAATAGATTTGGT